ATATGACGGTTCCGTATATGATACAGGTTCGATTCCTGTCGGAGGACGCATATTTTCTATGAAAATTTCTCGGACATTCAGGCCGGTAAATGTCGTTAATACTGTTTATTATAAACAGAGCATTTACTTAAGTATTTGTGTATCTACAAAAAGAACGTATGAACATAAAAAATCTTTATATATATATATATATATATATATATATATATATATATATATATATGGAGAAGGAACATGTATACACATACTAGCAAAAACATACGCGCGCACATAATACACAAAAATGGAAATAGGTTTAAAAAGATACCGAGGTCATATAAAGATAAGAACAAAGACCTCCATCCTTCACCCTTTCTCTGACCAATCCTAATTGTTTTATTACCTCTTTAAGCAGAAGAATATTTTCTCTACAAGTCCAAGAAAAATTCGTTTACCACTACACACAAATGGTTATACATTGGAAAACATAATAACAAATTAATTCCGTTAAATAATTGGAAAAATCTCTCTTCGCCTGATGAATGTCGCAAGACCCGAATTACGTCTAGCAAATATATGGAAAATAAAGTATAATATATAGTTTAAAAATCCACATTATAACTAAAAACGTTTGAAGCTTCTCTCTTCTCTTTAACATATATCTGTATATATATATATATATATATATATATATTCTATTTTATATATGTATATATATATATTCTATTTATATATATATATATATATATATATATATATATATTTTTCCTATTTTTTTACATTTACACATATATATATATATATATATATATATATATATATATATATATATATATTAGGACCTTGAATAAGTTCTCTCTGTTTTCCAACGGATGGCTTTCCCAGAAATGCGTGCGTGTAGTTGCAGATGGTAACGCATCTATAAAGCAGTACTGTAAGCAAGTGTATGTCATTTCGCCGAAGTGTAAACAACTTTGTTTTTCATAGCGTTAAACATGTCGGATTTCGTGCCAAAGAAAGTATATTTTCGGGTAATTTTGTTGCACTACTTTATTCAAAAGAAATCTGCAGCTGAAGCGCACAGAATTTTTGTTGAGACTTACGGCGACTGTGCTCTGTCAGAAACAGCATGCAGATATTGGTTAATGATTTTGATGTTGAAGATAAAGAATGCTCTGGCGTACCGAAAAAGTTTGAAGACGAAGAATTGGCGTCATTACTTCATGAAGACTCATGTCAGGCGCAAGCTGAACTTGCAGAATCATTAGGAGTTGATCACACAAGTTTCGAAACGTTTGAAATCATTAGGAATGATTCAAAAGCAAAGACATTGGGTGCCGTAAGACGTCGAACGGCGTTTTGTCACGTGTGAACAGCTGCTTCAACAGCAGAAAAGGAAAGATTTTGTGCATCATTTCGTGACCAGCGATGAAAAGTGGATACACTACGATAACCGTAAGTGTAGAAGATTCTGGAGTTAGCCTGGCCATTCATCAATATCGGCAGCAAAGCCGAATATCCATGGTTTGAAACTTCTGCTCTACATTTGCTGGGATCAGCTGGGTGTAGTTTATTATGAGCTGCTCAAACCGATCAAGACCATCAGTGGAGATCACTATCGACTACAATTGATGCGTTTGAGTCGAGCATCGAAGAAAAAACGGCCGCTATACGAGCAAAGACACGACAGTGATTTTGAAACACGACACCGCGAGGCCACGTGTTGCAAAACGGGGAAAAACCTACTTGTAAACGCTTAAATGAAAAGTCCTACCTAACCTGTCGTATTCCCCAGACCGATGACACATGGTCTGACTGAGCAACACTTTCATTCTTATGAAAATGACAAAAAAATGGGTCAACTCGTGTTTAGCCTCAAAAAACGTGTCGTTTTTCCGACGTGGAATTCAAATACTGTCAGAATGATGGGGAAAAGTAGTGGCTAGCGATGGACAACACATTCAGTGACATCTTTCTTACTAATTTTTGCAAATAAAACATTACTTATCATGAAAAAAATAACCGAAAACTTATTCAAGGTCCTTATATATATATATATATATATATATATATATATATATATATATATATATATATATATATATATATATATATGTATGTGTGCATGTGTGTGTGTGTGTGTGTGATAGAAATATATGATGTATATGATTAAAAAATCAACAGATAACGAAATGAAAATTAGGTCACTGTCGTGCCAGAAAGGTTTTCTCGTCAGAATCCATCTTGTACATTTACAAATCTATCATTCTTCCGTTCATTGAATACCATAGCCATATCAGGTCTCGTGCTCCTGTTATACACTTCGAGGTTCTTGACAAAATCCATAGAAAGATCTGTAATGTAATCGATCCTGACTTGGCATTTCGACTTCAGTCACTTTCTCACCGACGTGGCGTGGCTTCCATTTCCTACAAATATTTTCATGGCAACTGCTCTGACGAGCTTTTTTCCCTGGTGTCCCGTATATTTGAATTTAAGCGTGCTACTAGATTGGCCTCTAGATCCCAGCCTTTTACTGTTGAAATAGCTGAATGAAACCGTCACTTTTACTACAACAGTTTCTTTTCTCGCACTTCCCACCTGTTGAACTCTCTTTCGTTTACTTGCTTCTCTGATAACTAGCATCTAAATGCAACGTCAATCACCATCTTCTAGAATCCTGTTCATCTTTTGTCCTTTTCTCAATCCTCCCTATACTCAGTCCTTTTGTCTCACTCTGTTACCCCCTGCCTGCTAGTGGCATTCCTGCCTTACTTGGGTTAAATGATTAAAAAAATAAAATGAACATAGCGAACAACGCTTAGCAATGACATATACCGCATGTAATGACATATGCCGCATGTAATGACATATAGCGAATGTGTTATGAGTCAAGCTCTGAACTCAGAAGAAAATAACACCTCTTCCGTCTCTTCCCCTACTCCACCACCTTCATCCTTTCTTTTCCCCACCTCTTCCTCTTTCCTATCTATCCCCTTCTCCTCCTATGAATGTGATAATATTTTCTTTGCTCAATCTTTATTGGAAATATTTTTTCTTCTTTTTTGTACCGAAATACATATGGTCAAAATCGAAATAGCATTCCCTGAGAAAAGGTCTAACACCAAACCATCTTCAGAACAAAGAATATTCTTTTTCTTCTATGTGTCGTGACACTTCAGGACATGGACGATCGTGGCTCTCCATAACTTCTCTCCTTTCTGGCTCTTAGTAAGGCTTACTCATCTCGAAAATGAAATATACAAGGCCTGATCAAAAAGTATCGCGACTGTTGCTATGGTAACGGAACTAGGGCCCGCAGAGTAAAGCCGCTTGGCACAGAATGACCTTGAACTCTGTCGCGGATGCGCACTATGTTATAACGTTCCCACTCACTTTCGTTGTTTATAGTAGTGCTTGGAAGGTAAGTGTGTAGAATGTGGTCGTGTGGTGTGATCATGGCTTGTGCAGCAGTTTTTGGCTAATCGCAACATTCCCCAGGTCTGACAACCACCAATGTTACAGGTCATGATGCTTGTGGCTTTTTCCTCTTCAAAAATCAAATTCCACTAGAGAGGAACAAGATTTCAAGACGCCGAGAAAATCCAAGAGAATGCGACGAAGGGGGGCTATCTTTAACAAAGGAGTTCCTTGAATAGTTCCATCAATGGAAACGAGGCTGGACTCTTCGAAGGAAATTAAATGCCGAACTGATATCTAATGTAGTTTTATATTTATAGTACTAGTCCCGTTATTTTTTTTTTATATATATATCAGTCCTCAAAATGCCTACTTTACAATCTTTCTTGCCAATGAAAAAATTGTCATCACATGCATCAAGATTCATCTTCAGTATCACATCACCGATCAGGTATGTTTAAGTTTTTTTTTCTCTCTTCCATATGCCATCTCCGTTAAGTACGTGGGAGATCTTCCTGTTCTTTGTCTTTTTGCTATTTCTCACTGTTCTGCTAACCGTTTACACAAGATCGTTAGCTAGGTTATTCGCTGCTTTCCTCTGTCCCTCTTGCCTACAATATGTCCTATGAGTATCAAATTTTCCCTCCCCTCTTTCCTCATTATGTGTTTACTTCTCTTCCTGATGTTAACCATAAGTTTCACTCTTGTTTTTGCTTTCTCTAAAACCTCGTCGTTGCTCACATGTTCGCTGTATGGTATGCTCAGCATCCTTCTGTAGAACCACATTTCTGTTCCTTCAAGTCTTTTTTTTCATCCGTGATCAGATTGTCTAAATTTTACTGCCATATAGGAGGAGAGATATTAAATAACAGTTCAGTAATATTTTCTTTGTTTCTCACGAAATTTTCCTAATACTTTGCTTAGCTTTCGGAAGGCATTTTTCGCTATTCCAATGCGCATTCGGATTTTGATGTCGGATTTATGTTACCATTTTTTGTATTTGCTTGATTTTTTTGCGCATCTAATTTGTAATTCGCATCTTGGACTGATTCTTTTTGCTGGCAGACATTCCGGCTTAATATTAAGGCTTACCAAATGTAAAAAAGGGGGGGGGGCTGTAATCAGACTTGTGATCTTTGTCCAAAATGATATTTCTTCTCTTAATGGTTACTACTAGGCATCAAATTGCTGTTTGTATTTGCACTTCATCGTCTCCTAATTTTCAAATCAGATCACTTTGAAAAACCAACGCATTATTCAATTACCGATAAATGTTTAAATGACCAATCAATTGCCGCTTCACTGCAGCAATGTCATCTTCCGGGTTACACGCTAAAACAGACACTGACCGAATTCTGTCTAGCGCGTATTTATCGACTAATAGTTGACCAATACGGAAATGCGGCCATTTCATACCGTTGAATCGTTTAAAAGAAAGCGAGACACCTTCGTTTTTTTTTTTGTTTTTTTTTTTTAACTGCGGTGAATTTTCGTTGCATTGCTTTATGCTATCATGAAAAGAGTCAACGAGTTTGAAGAAGATGAAAAAAGTGTTTATAACTGCAGTATAATGCTAGTATTAGCTACATAGATTTATATCCTCATGTATACAGGTGAGAAAGAAAAGAAAGAAAAAGAAAGAAAGAAAGAAAGAAAGAAAGACGGACAAATAGAGAGACTAGCAGAAAGAAACTAAGATAGATAGATAGATAGATAGATAGATAGATAGATAGATAGATTATCTTATACATATATACATGTGCAGGTAAGAAAGAAATACAGAAAAAAGACAGAAAAAGAAAGAAAGAAAGAAAGAAAGAAAAGAAAGAAAGAAAGAAAAGAAAGAAAGAAAGAAAGAAAGACGGACAAATAGAGAGACTGGCAGAAAGAAACTAAGATAGATAGATAGATAGATAGATAGATAGATAGATAGATAGATAGATAGATAGATTATCTTATACATATATACAGGTGCAGGTAAGAAAGAAATACAGAAAAAAGACAGAAAGAAAGAAAGAAAGAAAGAAAGAAAGAAAGAAAGAAAGACGGACAGACAGAAAGAAAGAAAGACATACAGACAGACAGGAAGATAGATAGATAGATAGATAGATAGATAGATAGATAGATAGATAGTTTCTCTAATACATACATAAGAAAGAAAGAAAGAAAGAAAGAAAGAAAGAAAGAAAGAAAGAAAGAAAGAAAGAAAAAGGGAAAGAAAAAGGGAAAGAAAAAATAGATAGATAGATAGATAGATAGATAGATAGATAGATAGATAGATAGATAGATAGATAGAGATAGTGGGAGAGAGAAAGAGATTCTCTTATATATGCATGTACAGGTAAGAAAAAAAAAGAGTTAGGCATTAAAAACAGAATGAAAGAAGGACATAATTATCGAAATAGACTGACTGCAAAGATATCTATCGTGTTTATCTTTCTCCTGAAACCCTATCGAACATGACACAACTTCGTTTTTTCACTGCGATCTCCAAAAATGGCCTGTGGCATCCTCGTAGAAAAGAAAATATTAAGAAATGTTATAACCCGCTTCTTTTAAATGCAGGAGGGGAGGTGTTGCCTGTAGGGAAAATTCTAGATGCCAAATTGAATTTATCTAGTGACTCCCACCCTAATCGGTGAGACGATAAGTTCAGAAGACTAACATTATTAAATATCGTTTCTCAATGTTCGAAATTTCCACAAATCACGCTACTCTACACTTTTTGGTTCCTACTAAAACGTGTTATTTCGCATTCACCTGTATTTTATTGATTTTTCAATAAGCGTAAATGCTGTCTTCTTGCAAGTAAAAGGAAATTTTAGCAAAATGTAGAAATATGTTGATGCATACGTCGGTTAACGTGTGTAAATACTCATGTCTATATGCATTATTAAAAAAAAAATTTTTAAATCAAGTATAATTGTATTGGGTCAGGGGAGCTTCCACTTTGCAATCGAAATAGAATTAAGCAATTGGTTGCAGGGCGATTCTTAAAAGAAATGTTATTCCAAACTTTCTAATAGTATAGGCTTTAAAAAAAAGAAAAAAAAACAATGCATTTATACTATCGTATCATCAGTTGACGCTGAAATATTTTTAAAATACATTTATCGACTACAAAATTAAAATTATCAACTTTAAACATACTATTGATTACATTCATTACACGAAAGGAATTAATATTGAAATATCAGCTTTGGAAATAATTATACTTATAATTAGAGAATATTCCAGATTTCTACTTGAAATTAATTAATTTTTCTGAATTATGTTTATAATTAATGTTTAAATCGGAATTACATTTATAATTAAAAATACATATATAACGAATTGAATATATAATTAATGAAAATATATTTATTTAATTTACACGGATTGTTATCCTCATCAGATTGTTCTAGTTCCACGTGCCATGCCTCTTCCGAATGCTTCAGTAATTTTCCTTTAACTCAATTCTCTAAGTTCGGTTCATCACTTCTGGGTCCTATCGAACTCACTACTTTTTGTGTCTAGTAACTGGATCTAACCAATATCTTTATCCACTGGGGGGTCATGTGTCCTTGAGGATATAACTGAGTATAAATTTTTGAGACTTGTAAACCTAATGTCTCAGCAATCATTTTTTTTTACCAGTGTTCATATTGCAACCTTCTGTTATTATTATTATAGCATAATTTACCAGAACTTATATTGCAATTTTTAATGATATTCATTGCTTTTCTCTAGCACTCCTTATTTTGGCTCTCACATTGTATTCATTTCTATGCTTGGTCGGCTCAGGAGATTTTTGTACAAGCATATGTGCTGATTCCTTAAGTTTTCGTATTTTCCAGTGATTTTCTCTATTATTTCAAACTTATCGCAGATGGGGCGGTGATCTCTCTTTTCCCTCCATATGTGGTCAGCTATGCCTGATTTTTCTATTTCCCCTTGTGTTATACCGCTTTACGATGTTCTTATCTTAAGAAGGGCAGCCTGTTTCTCCTTTGTATTTCTTACCACAGCTAAACGGGACGGCGTACACACAATCTTTAATCATGTTCTCCTCTATAGCAATGAAGATTAGGATAACAGACCGAATAATTTAAATAATGTAAATAACTGTAATGTTTATAATGCTTATAAATTAATAATACTGCATATATAATACTGCTCTAATAATGTTTGTAATATTCAAATGTTAATAACACTGTAAGTGCCGTATAATGTTTATAATTAAGTTAATAATGTTTATAATGTTTATAATTTAATAAAAATGTCTATATAATAGTGTTGTAGTAATATTCATAATGTTTAATACTAGTGTATATATTATTGCTTTAATCTTTGCAATGTTTATAATTTAATTGTGCTGTATATATAATTGCTATAATATCTTTAATGCTTATAACTTAATAATACAATGTACCTAACTGTTATCATAATGTTCATAATTTAATAATATTTCATATATGTCTTGTAATAATGTTTAATACGTATAATCTAATAATATTGTACATATAATTCATTTCATTAATGTTTATGATGTTTCTAATTAATTAATGCTGTATATAAAGGGTGAGATAAATAAATTGTTATCAAAATGACGCAAAAATGAAAATAACACTGGCATCTCATTTTAACAGATATATTTACCAAAATTACACAAAAAATATCTTGAAATACTAAAGAGTAAATTTATTCAATAAAATTGCCATTGGCTTCAACCACGGTCTCCAGGCGACTTTGGAATCTCCTGCAACTCTTCTGGGGGGTGTTACCTTATTCAACTTGGTGAATGCTACCATAATCGTTGCCCTCAGTTCGTCTTTGGTCTTAGAAAGAGTTTTGTTGGTCTCTCACTCAACTGCCCCCCACACATAATAATCAAGGGGATTGCAGTCTGGGGAGTTAGGTGGACAGATATAAGGGGTGATATGGTCACAGAAATTGTCTGACAGCCATGACTGGTTTCTCCTGCTTGTGTGACATGGCACAGAGTCCTGTTGTTCAGCAGCCACCATCTTGATCCAGGAGAACATTAAATCCTCAACGCACTTGATGTAGCGCTCTTTGTTAAGTTTTGGGCCCAATGGAGGCATAACGTCACCATCACTAGTGATCACTCCAAACACCTTCGGAATCACCATTAAACCCATCAAACTCTTTCCAAATCCCCTGCACCCAAACACACTGAAATGTTCGTACTGGAGCATCCGGCATGAATGCCAAGCAGTACAGCATGTCGTTTCCAAATTTCTGGCGAAATGAATTGCATCATGCTTCTCTTTTTCTCACAGGCGATGCCAACTGACCCTACTATACTGTGCAGTCGACAAAATCTAAAACAAACAACGCGCATGCGTGAAATTAAAATTATAAAATGGCGAAATTTTCACCGTCGCATCCTGTATATAAAGTTGTAATAATATTTTTAACGTTCACAATTTATAATACTGTATATATAAGTGTCTTGCAATAATGTTTATAATGTTTATAAATTCATAATATTACATATATAACAGTTTTAATAATATTTATAATGTTCATAATTTAATGTTATATATAACATTATCATAAAAATGTAATAATAGTGTATCCATAAGAGTAATGTAATAAGGTCTATAATGTTTATAATTTAAAAATACTGTATATATATCTGTTGTTGTAATGTCTATAATATTTATAATTTTATAAAATTGTAGAATTTTTTAATAATGTTTATAATTTAATAATATTATATATATATAACAATGTTGCATTAATGTTTATGATTTAATAATACTGTACATATAGATACCATAATGTTTATCACGTTTGCAATTAAATAATACTATACATATACTAGTGTTGTAATAATATTTCTAATTTTTATAATGTAATAATACTGTATATATAATTGTTGTAATATTGTTTGTAATTTAATAATACTGTATGTATAATAGAGTTGTAATAATGTTTTAAGGCTTATAATTTAACAAAACGGTATAAATCATTGTTGTAATAATGTCTATAATGCATAAATTTATAAAGGTAAAAAACATTCATATTTCCATTGAAATATGCTACCAATATAAAAAACAATAATTTAATAACTCAGTCTTCAAAGAACAGTGAGAATTTTATTTATTGATAATTTCAACTTTGGACTAATTTTGAAGAATTTAACCTTTCTAAAATATTTATTTTGCTAAACAAAATAATGTTTACTGAACGCACAGAATTTAAGTCAGGTCAAATATTCAAAAAGTGACATTAGCTAAGACTTAATCAGTCTTTTCAAATGCAAATAAATGCGCCATGCACACAGTGTCCATATTGGTTGTGGAATTTCTTTTCGCTACGTATTTTAATGTCGAACGTTGAGGCATAACTTATGACTCTATACTGAAGGACCTTTTTATCAAACACTGTCATCGAAATTCGATTCGTTTTAAAATTCATTGACTAAAAAAGCCATCTGACTATCTAAACTATCGCACTTCTCGCTTGTGGAACTGTCTTCCGACTTACCAATCAAGTTTGATCTTTAAAAATTTTAATGTCAATCGTTACCTTCAGTCCTCTTCATTTTATTCTCTTTTATTATTCTATCTCTTTAACAGGGTTTTTTTCTTTT